TTGATTGGCATCTCCCTGATGGCTGATGAATTGGAGCATCTTTCTTTCTTTATTCATTTTTTTTAAGATTTTGTTTTTGGGGCTCCTGGGTGGTGCAGTCCACTGGGCATCCAACTTTTGGTTTTGGCTTGGGTCATGATCTCAGGGTCATGAGATCAAGCCGCCCCACCCATCCCCAGACTCAGTGCGGAGTCTCTTTGAGACTCTCTCTGCTTCCCCCTGTCACCCACACTCAGCTTCTCTCTCACTCAAATAAAATAAATAAATCTTCAGAAATAAATACATATTTTAAAGTAATCTCTATGCCCAACATAGAGCTTGAACTGGCAACTCCAAGAGATCAAGAGTTGTGTGCTGTACTGACTGAGCCAGTCTGGTGCCCCACGATGGAGCATCTTTCTATGTGCTTACTGGCTATTCATATAGCTTCTTTGGGAAAATGTCTACTAGAGTCCATTGTTCATGTATAAACTGGGTTGTCTTTTTACTGTTGAATGGTAAGAGTTCTTTATATAGATGTTAAGTCTTACTAGGTGTGAGTCCCTTGCCAGATAAATAATTTGCAAAATTTTCTCACATGATGTGCTTGTATTTTCACTTTTTTGTCCTTTGAAGCACAAAGTTTTAAGTTTTGTTGAAGTCTTATTTATCTATTTTTTTCTTTTGTTACTTGTGCTTTTAACGTCATTTCTGAGAATCCATTAGATTATTATTTATTAGAACATAAATCCAAGGTCATGAAGATTTAGGTCTTCTTCTAAAAGTTCTTAGGTTTTCTTCTAAAAGACTTAGGTTTTCTTCTAAAAGTTCTGAGTTTTAGCTCTTCCACTAAAACTAGGACCCATTTTTAATTCATTTTGTATATGGTGTGAGGTAGGGATCCAACTTCATTCTTCTGCATGTGGACATCTCAGCACCATTTGTTGAAAAGACCATGGTTTCTCTATTGAATTGTTTTGGCACACTTCTGGAAAGTCAACTGACTGTAAATGTGAGGGTTTATTTCTGGATCCTGAATTCTATTCCATTAATCTATACATTTACCCTTATTTCAGTATTCTACTATACTCTACTAGTTTTGTAGTAAGTGTTGAAACCAGGAAGTAGGAGTTCTCCAATTTCATTCTTTTTCAAGATTGTTTTGTTACTGAGTGTCCTTTTATAAGTGGTTTCCCGTTCTGAGGAATGGGGGAATTTCTCTTAGAAATGTCTCTGATGGGGGTGCCTGAGTGGCTCAGTGAGCTAAGCCTCTGCCTTAGGCTCGGGTCGTGGTCTCAGAGTCCTGGGATGGAGCCCTGTGTTGGGCTCTCTGTTCGGCAGGGAGCCTGTTTCCCACTCACTCTCTGCCTGCCTCTCTGCCTACTTGGGATCTCTCTCTCTTTCTCTGTCAAATAAATAAATAAAATCTTTAAAAAAAAAAAAAAGAAATGTCTATGATGGAAGAAAAATGCAGCAGAGAAAAATAATAAGTGACCTATAATATATATTTCAGGAAGCCACCAAGGACAGCTGTCCACACCAAACCCCCACCCTGGCCCTGGACCTACCTGAAAGCAGCCGGATGAATCCACAAGACTTTGCCTCCCTGCTCACCTCCTCATGCTTGGGATGGGTTCTCTCTGAGCCTATACTCTGCCTGTTGGGTTGAATTGAATTCGTTTGGTAAATAATGTAATTAACCTGGGAGTAGATGGTAGATCCAGTTGGTCTCACCAGAGAGGTCTAGCGGTGCATTTTGGGCAATGTCCAGCTATGGGTTTGAGAAAAAGTCCAGGGACTGTCTGACCTCCAACTGCAGGACAGTGTGGTTTCCCTGGGACTTGTCGCAGTTTCAGTGCCCTCCCTTGCACAATGGAGATAACAAGCTTTGCCCTGCCTACCTCACAGGGATTATTATGTCGCTGCTGTAACCTCTTCCGGAGAGCCTTCCCTGACTGCCCCAGGCTAAGTTGGGTCTGTCTCCTCTTGGCACCCACAGCCCCTGGGAATTCCTCTGTCCTAGCCCTTCCCACTGTGCATGCTAAAGTACTCTTTTCCTTGCTGTGTCCTCTGGTTTGTGCGCTTGATGAAAGCAGGAGCTGGGTTGGCTCCTCCCAGTGACGCTGTATTACGCAGCATATATTACACAGAACTGACCTGCCAGTGTTTTGACACACCGGAAGGCCAGGCTGCCCCTGGGCATGGAGTGATGATTTCCTCCGAGGTTCAAGAAGGGAAGTCTTACCTGCAGCAGCCACGTGGCGAGGCCAGACTGCTACTGTGTACACGCTGCTTGGCTTCCAGAGTGGACACAATGGAGTTTGGTGGTGACTGTGGACACCACCCCAAAGTTCAGCTCTCAAGAGCCGGTCATAGATACTTTCCCCACTGGAAGTTCTCTAAATGAGTCCAGGTAATTTACTCGTTGGCTACCCTCTCTGCCCCTCCATTGTTCAGTGAGTATTGATGCAAGGGGTCAGAGCGTGAAAGAGAAAACGCAGCAGCCCATCCCCAAATTGCCACTTGCTTTTGGGATGTAGCCAACGGAACACACACACATTTACTCATTCATTCTCTGAACACTGTCTCTGTGCCCAAACCTATGTGGCTGAATACGGGGTTCCACAGATGAGAGGGGACAGGGTCCTGCATTCAGGAAGCTCACAGTCTGGGGCCCCTCGGTGACGCATTTGGTTAAGTGGCTGCCTTCAGCTCAGGTCATGATCTTAAGGTCCTGGGATCGAGCCCCATGTAGGGTTCCCTGCTCAGTGGGGTGTCTGCTTTTTCCCTCTCACTCTGCCCCTCACCCCCACTCGTGTGCTCTCTCTCTTTCTCTCTCTCTCTCTGCCTCTCTCTTTCTAATAAATAAATAAAATCTTAAAAAAAATAGAAGCTCATGGTCTGGTGGGAGAGCAGGAATGCAAGGCGGAGTGCACCTTCCCTGCCCGTCTTGATATCTCTCCCCTTCCACCTTCAAAGGGGAGTTCTGTCTTTGGCACTCCAGGACTTTAGGATGATGAGAGACAGGATCAAAGAAGAGGGAAGAAGAAATCTCATTTTCTGGGTCATTTCTCAATTTCTTCTCTGTTGTAGAGAATCACGATAAGGAGCAAAGTTGAAATTAGAGGTTAAAGCAATTCACATAAAGAAAAGTTAACTTTACACCCACCAGGATGGCTGTGATCAAAGAAATGGAAAATAAATATTTGTGAAGATGTGAAAAAACCGGAACCCTTGTTCAGAGCTGGTGCAAACGTAACATGGCGCAGCCACTAAGGAAAACAGTTTGGTGGCTCTTCAAAAAGCTAAACATAAAATTACCATTTGGTGGGCACCGGGGTGGCTCAGTCATTAAGTGTCTGCCTTCGGCTCAGGTCATGATCTCAGGGTCCTGGGATCGAGCCCCACATCAGGCTCCCTGCTCAGTGGGAAGGCTGCTTCTCCCTCTCCCATGCCTCTGCTTGTGTTCCCTCTCTCGCTATGTATTTCTGTCAAATAAATAAAATCTTAAAACAAAATTACCATATGGCCCAGTAAATCCGCTTCTAGATTAATACTCGAGAGAACTGAAAATGGGGACTCAAACTTAGTGGCATTCTTCACAGTAACCAAAAGGTGGAAAGAACCCAAATGTCCCATCAACAGAGGAGTGGGTAAACAAAGTGGGGACTGCCCCCACAGCTGTCAGAAGAAATGAAATTCTGTTAGATGCTAGGACAGGGAGGAACCTTGAAAACATTATACAAAGTGAGATTAGCAGATACCGTATGACTCCACTTACATGAGATTTCTAGAATAGGCAATTTCATAGACATAGAATTTCATAGACACCGAAAGCAGAACAGAAGTTACCTGGGGCTTGGGGCTAGGGGGAAATGGGGGTGTTATTGCTTAATGGGTATAGAGTTTCTGTTGGAGAAGGTGAAAAAATTCTGGAAATGGTGGTGATGGTTATGCAATATTGTGCATGTACTTAATTCCACTGAATTGCACACTTAAAAATGGTTAAAGCTGTAAAGTATAGGCTATGTATATTTTACCACAATTAAAAAAAAAAAGATCTAAGAGATTTAAGAGATTAGATTAATTCTGTAATAAAGAACTTATACAGCGTGGGTACAAGGAGAGAGCGGAGCGGGGATATGCGGGTGAGCAAATGTGAGAGCATTCAGTGAAGCGAAGACGTGATCAGCACAATCGCATAGTAAACAATCGTGGAATGAATGAGGGATGGCACAGGAGAAGGGATTTTTTTTTTTTATGATTTTATTTATTTATTTGACAGACAGAGATCACAAGCAGGCAGAGAGGGGGAAGCAGGCTCCCTGATGAGCAGAGATGCAGAGCCTGATGCGGGGCTCCATGCGGGGCTCCATGCGGGGCTCGATCCCAGAAATCTGGGATCATGACCTGAGCCGAAGGCAGAGGCTTTAACCCACTGAGCCACCCAGGCGCCCCGAGGAGAAGGGATTTTGAGAACTTGACTATGGTAGGACAAAATGTATCCCCTATGACATTCTGTGAGAAATCCATGAGGACTGGGAGTCTGTCTTCGAGACTTACGTTAGTAGACTTTAATTTTTGTCGAGTGGACGTCACACTGGGCACGTGGAGCCCCACGTAGGGGTGGGTCAGGTTAGCCTCTCTCTAGGAGGAAGAGCCTCCGTGGAGGTTTCTAGAGTCAGGAGAAGGCAGGACGTTCAGGAAGAGCCCAGGGAAGTAGAGGCTGGAGGCCATATTGGCTTCAGGGTGAGCTGTGTGGGCCGATACAGCTTTGAATTTCAGCCAGCTGGGATGCAGGTGTAAGTGTTGAGGGGATGGGGATGACCCACAACTAGACAATGGACTGCAGCGGGGTCGGCACTCAAGTTTTCTCGGCTGCACATTAAGGCCTCGGACGAGCCGAATGGCTCCAGGATCCGTCCGCCGCGTGTCTTGAGCCAGAGTCGCCAGCAGAGGGCGGGAGGACGTGCTGAGGCCCGCAAGCTGCCGCTCTAGCCTGAGCCGGGTCATAGAGTCGAGCTGCTTCCGGACCCGCGGCTGGGAAGGAGCCGGAAGTCCGGTGGGCTCCGGGTGTCGAGATGGAGGAGGGAGAGTACGAGTCGGTTCTCTGTGTCAAGCCGGAGGTCCACGTCTACCGCATCCCGCCGCGAGCCACCAACCGTGGTTACAGGTAACCAGTTGCCGCCGGGCCAGGCTAACCCTGATTTAACCGCTTCCCCGCCGCCCGACACGCCCACCATGGGAGCCGAGGACGGCTCCGGCCGTTTAGGGGAGAGGCGGGGGTAATGCGGGGCCTTCTCCCAGTTCGAGGCCAGAGCGAGGAGGGAGACCCAGACTTGGGGCTGTGTCAGTCCGGCGCACGGGGCTACCAGCGCGGGGAGGGCTTTGGAGCCGTGTCTAGCCGGTACCCTAAGTGTGGTTCGGGGTGGTGGTGTCACAAGCCCTTTTCTTTCAGCCCTAACTGGTGGCCTTGAGGGGAACCTTGAAGAGCCTGAAGGGGGGGGGGGGGGGTCCTATCACGGGCGGAAATCCCCAGGGGAAGGAAAACAGCTCAGAACCGGCCAAAAGGACGCGTCCGAGGGAGCTGTAGGCGGATGGCCAGAGCCCGGGGACCCCTCCCTGCCCAGCTCCCTTCGCACGAACTTTAGTCCTTAGCTGGTGGCGGTTGTGAGGAGTGCATCGCGCTTCTCCGGTGAACTCTTCACCCGAGGCGGATGGACAGATGCTTGTAGGGTCTGGAAGGGAACGCAGGAAAGGGCGCTACGGGAGGGCAGTGGGAGTGGGAAGGAGACTTCCTTTCGCCATATGCTTTTTTTGGTACTGTTTGCATTTTGTTACCAAGCCTGTGCATTACCTGTGAAAAGGTGGGGGGCGGGGAGATGTACCTGTTACAGACAACCTTGTCTGTGGCTATTTTGTGCCCCTGGAGTGGGGGTGGAGTCGCTTTTGAAGGCCATGTTTTTGTCTCTGTGATTTGGAAATACAGAACTGGCCTGCATCACAAGGATGGTGGAGTGGCCACATTATCTGGCTTCTTGTTACTTTCCAGGTGTGTCAACACAGACTCCTGGCTGATTTTCTAGACAGCAGATTACTTTTTTGAACACCTGTGACATCTGTGGTGTAACTTGAAAGTAGTGTGAAAGCAACAAGAGAAGCCGTTACAAAAACACATCTGCTTTCTGTTATCAACCTGGAGATGGGGACACCAAACCCAGGACGGTCAGCCTACTCTGATCCCCTTCAGTGGGATGGGTTTTGTCCCTCCTGGTCCCTGCAAGAGTGAGGTTCCCAAGTGTCCGGCTGGCTGGTTTGGCGTAGAGGAAGCTGGCGGCCCCTGCCCTTCACCCTGAGAGCTCGTTTTAGCTTGGATCTGAGGCCCGTGTTGCCCCAGTAGGAGGAACTGAAACCGAGTCAGCTGACTTGTGAATCAAGAGTCTGCATTTGTGTGGTCCTCAAAAAGACCTGTGTCTGTAGTTAATGGTGTTGCTTAGGGACTTCCAGGAAAAGCCTTTGAAAACACCCAAAGTTCTTGCTATTTGGGGATTTTACTGAATTGCTTCTTAGAAGTAAAATGTGAAGTTACTACTTTAAAAGTCCCCAAAGAAGCTATTGTGATAGGTCCATGGTTTCCTGGGGTTCTTTTGGCCTGGAACACCTTTGGGGTTAAATTTCCTGGATTCACTTTTCTCAGGTGTATAGTTGCTCTCTTTTTCTCTTTTTGCTAATGATTGCTCGCTCTCTGCTTTTCCTCAAAGATCGTCTCACTGGTCCCAGATGGTCACTCTCGCCACTGCAGCCTGGCAGTGTCTTCTTAAACAGCAGGCCCAGGAGCTGCTGCTTTTACCGAAAGAAAACTGGAAATCCTGCTTCTGAGAAAAATCTCTGTAGTCTAGAACTGGGGCTGGCAAACTGCAACCCACTGTGTTTTTGTATGTCTCACAAGCTAAGGATGGTTTTTATATATATATATATTTTTTTTTTTTTTAAGATTTTATTTATTTATTTGACAGATCACAAGTAGGCAGAGAGGCAGGCAGAGAGAGGAAGGGAAGCAGGCTCTCCGCCGAGCAAAGAGCCCGACGCGGGGCTCGATCCCAGGACTCCAGGATCACGACCTGAGCCAAAGGCAGAGGCTTTAGCCCACTGAGCCACCCAGGCGCCCCTGGTTTTTATATTTTTAAATAGTAGTTGGGGAACATTTAAAAAGAATATCTCTTAATGCGAAAATTACATGAAATTCAGGTCTTTCGTGTCCAGAGAGTTGCGCTGAAATACAGTCACACGCCGCAGCAGACATTCAGATAAAATACATAAAGCACCAAGACGCTCCTGTACTCTGTATCACTGCTGTCACCCTACAACAGCAGAGTGGGTAGTTGTGACAGAGATGGGATGGTCCTTTTCGGAGAAAGTCTGGCAGCCTCTGGTCCTGAGCAGGCAGCCCACATGCCCTTCCCATTCCCGTCCCCAGCCCTGGAGTGAGGGAGCAGGACCCCCTAGCAGAGGCTCAATGGTTTTTGTCCCCGTAGGGCCGCGGAGTGGCAGCTGGACCAGCCATCATGGAGTGGCCGGCTGCGGATCACTGCAAAAGGGCAGGTGGCCTACATCAAGCTGGAGGACAGGACCTCAGGTAAAGGCCAGGGAGCCCCTTGTGGGGCTGAGATGCTGTACCTCCTACTTTGTGAAGGGAGAGGCAGCCCTGGCGAGTCCACTCGGGTCACGGGAACTGATCCTCCAAATCAAAGGCCAGCGGTCCTCTAAGCTGCCTCCATCCCCCCCCCCACCTTTAATTGTAGAAAGCCCGGTCTCCAGGTGTAGAAGGGTTCATTTCCTGTCATACACCTGTCTTTGGTGGGGGGCATCCTTAAGAACATACTAATTTTGGAATCCAGGAAGAGGAGACAGACAAGGTGGTCTCAGGTAGGAAGCCCCAGAGTTTGCCTTTAAGACCAGCTTGGCCAGGGGGAGACGCACAACACTGTGCCGCTGAGCGAGGCTTCCTCCTCAGAAATTCTGTTTATCAGCTGAATGGTAACTCCCCAGACTGACCACGCCCGTGAACTGAAAGTGCTGGAAGTTGTCCTACTCAGCTATTTCTTTGGTGAAAGGACAAGCCAAGCTGGGCTGTGTTGGGGTCAGCTGGCAGATGTCACCTTAGGGGAAATCTGTCTGGAAGTCATGTGCCCCCAGGGCCTCCGGGTGAGCTGTGGAGGCCGCCGCGGCCTGAAAGAGCCCCAGCCCCCAGAGCCGGGGTCGGGCATGGTGCTGCTCGGTCGGTGGCTGCAGCATTGGGTCATTTATTTTTCTAACGTGTAAGAGATTCTCCCGGGCGGGGCCGGGACCGGCTGTAAAGCGCCACAGGCAAAACCGCTATCTCTGAGAACTGCGTCTCTTGTGTCTGAGCCGTGGGACCCTTGGTGAGCCCCGTGACTGCTGGTGTCTCCTTTTTGAAAGGGGGATCACATTAGCTCCTGCTTCACACGATTGTTGGAAATACGAAGTGAGCACACATTTATCCAACTGCTTTGTGAACTGCAAGGTGACCCAGAGCAGTGATGCGTTCTGGAACATGGGGCTGGCTGGGTATTGGCTGCAGAGGAGTTTGAAAAGACAGCTGCTGTGACTAGGCCAGAGAATTCCGGGCTGTCCCAGGTGATCTCACGAGGGGTGGCAACAGCTGTTTCCTGCGAGCCTTGGGAACGGACTTGAAGGTGCCTGCCTAGTGGAGCAGCAGCTGCTCAGAGCTAAGCCTCCCCTGCAGGAGCCACCCTAGGGTGCTTGTGTCTCGGGGCCAGGCTGCCAGGTCCTCTTGTCTCTCGCTCTGCACTCCTTCTCGGCCAAGGCTAGTGGCATTTGGGCCAGGGGAGTGTTGGGACTGTCAAGTCAAATTTCAGCTCGTAGCAACATCCCTGGCCTCTGCCTACCAGATGCCAGTAGCACCCCCCAAGCTGTGAAAAACCAAAAATGTGTCTGCACATTGTCACATGTCCCTGGTCAGGGGCTGGGGCAAAACCACCACTGGTTGAGAATCACTGCTCTAGGCCAAAGGCGTCCAGGTGAGTACTAGATCCCCAGGGGCCAAGCTGGGGTTGGGGCACAGAGAAATTACCAAGAAGCTACAGACTCGAGGGCCACCAGTTTGGATTCAGCTGAGCCTTGATTACAGTCGCCTGTGAACCCCAGCACTGAGTAGAGGAGCCTCGGTCGAGTACCAGAAGCTTGGACAGAGGTCAGCACCTGTGGAAGCGACACGAGTTCAGAATGCCCCCAAAGGCGGGCACCGCACCGGGGCCTAGAGTGCCGGAGTGACAAGGGATGCGTTTGGCAGGGACTCCTTTTAAAACCGGTGGTCCTCTTGCCCTTTCTCAGCTGCTTCAGATCCTTCTTCTTGTTAAGATTTTATTTATTTGTCAGAGAAAGAGAGACAGAGAGAAAGCACAAGCAAGGGAAGAGGCAGGCAGAGGAGAAGCAGGCTCTCCGCTGAGCAAGGAGCCCAATGCGGGGCTGGATCCTGGGACCCTGGGATCATGACCAGAGCCGAGGGCAGCCGCTTAACCGACTGAGCCACCCAGGCGTCCCTGCTTCAGGTTCTTCTGTGGGCCCCCAAGCCCCTTTCACTGGGTTCTGCGGCTCCTCTGCAGTCCTGCCTCGGGTTCCAGGCCTTTTCTGAGGTGGTGCTGTACCTGAACCAGGGCCTGCCTGCTCCAGGGCCCTCCGGTGCAGGCAGGTGGGCTCCAGCCCAGCTCTCCTGTGAGAATGGAGTCCCAGCATTGCTAGAGGTTTGGATTGTCAGGGAAGACTAGAAATCCGGGACGATTTTGCATGTAATTTGATTTTGAAGAGTTTGGCAGTTAAATCAAGAATATTAACCTTGGGCTGTATCTGACCTGCAGGCCACTCCTGACTTAAACCTTTGCTTGGTTATAGGTCTGTGTCCTCTCTTCCATCAGAATGGATTTGATTTGAACCCTGGAGTAAGGTTTGCCTCGCTGCCTTTCAGGAAAAAGGCCGCAGTGGTTTGATAGAAATGTCAGGCGGGAAGGGGGCTCCAGGCTCACCCTAACCTGTGCTTCCAGGGGAGCTCTTTGCTCAGGCCCCGGTGGATCAGTTTCCCGGCACGGCTGTCGAGAGCGTAACGGATTCCAGCAGGTACTTCGTTATCCGCATCGAAGATGGAAACGGTGCGTGTGGGTTTCAGGGGTTCCTCCTCGTAAGAAGAGTTTCCTCTGCCGCTGGCAAGTGGGATTAATCCTGTGTTGTCCCCCAGGGCGCCGGGCATTTATTGGAATTGGCTTCGGGGACCGAGGCGATGCCTTTGACTTCAACGTTGCACTGCAGGACCACTTCAAGTGAGTGGTTCCAAGACACCGGTGCTCGTGCCTCTTTCCTTGCTTTCCTGGGACAGAATGGTTTCCCAGCCTAGGATACTTAGGTGCTTGTGTGGGATTCTTCTGCTAGCAGAGCCCCCGAGAGACTCACTGCTCCTGGGGGGCAGGCTGCCTTCTCTACTTTCCAGTCCTCTCCTTTTCCGCAGGTTCATCTCTCACTGGTCAGCTGGCCTCGCCTCTGATGTGCCATACCTCTTCCCTTACCAGGCCCCAGAGGAGTCAGAGTCCGTGGGGGGCTCATGGGGCCTTCCTGAGCCTGCTCCTTCGTGATACAATAAGTGGTGGCAGGTGGCCGCTGTCTGGGAGTCCTTTCGAAAGCTAAAAGACAGGGCAGGAAACACTGCTCCCTGCCACCTTCAGGCCTCCGTCTCTGGCTGCTGTCGAGTCGGCATGTGCGCAGCCACTTGCGTGGGCACCCCTGGCTCTTCCCTGGCCTGCTGTCCCTGCCCAGGTGGCTGCTGGATGGGTATCGAGTGGAGGGTGGAGGGTACCTTTGTGTTGCTCTCCACTTCCTGGGCATCTGTCTTGTCTCACCGTCTACCTTATGAGTCCTTGTGAGTGGGGGGGGGGTATGTTGTCCTGGTCCACATGCCAAGTGCTAGGGAGGAGAGGGCCAGTTCTCAGATTTCCTGAAGACCGGTGTGAGAACCTTTGTCTGCATGCACGAGCTCACTGAATTTTCAGAGCTGTCTTTAACACATACGTAACTGTCATCCCATTTTGTTGATGAGGGAACTGATCTGCCCGCAGCCACTTATGTGTCAGAGTCAGGATTCGAATTCAGGCCCAGCTCCCAAGCCTGCGTGTGCTCTTTCTGCCATGTAAAACCTCTTCCCGGACGGGTGGCAGGTGGAGGGGGAGTAAGGGAGTGGAATGCAGGGCAGCGGGTCTCTTCCTCACCTCTTTCTTCCTGTCCTCTCCCCAGGTGGGTGAAACAGCAGTGTGAATTTGCAAAACAGGCCCAGAACCCAGACCAGGGCCCCAAGCTGGACCTAGGCTTCAAAGAAGGCCAGACCATCAAGCTCAACATCGCGGTGAGTCCCACCTCACTTGGCTTTGTCGGCCAGCCCCAGCCCCCGCCCCGAGCCCGCGTGCCCTTTTCCCACGCTTCAGTTCCATCGGTTGAGTAGATGTTTGTGGCTCAGCTGCCTTTTGCCAGGTCCTGTGCTGGGGGTGAATGAGAGAGCTCTGCTCTCGAGGAGCTCAGAATTAAACAGAAGGGCGAGGCGAGATGGGACCACAGCCTGAGAGGGGAGGGGACACGCTCAGTGCCGTGAGCGCCTAGAGGAGGAGCACACAGCCCATAGTTAAGGGAAGCGAGGAAGGGTTCCTAGAAAAAGTGACCTGTAAGGAAGGGAAAGGTGGGGGATCAAAGGCAGTTCAAGCAGAGGGAACAGCATGTACAAACCCTCTGAGTTGAGAAGAAGCATCAGTCCCTTGTCGCCAGAGCTGGTGTTTCTGACCAGGCTGTTAGAGTGGGGGTCAGCTGCGTCCTGGCCTTGCTCCTCAAGGAAGAGTAGGGAGGGCTCTGGACAGGAAGGCATTGAGGTGGGTGCTGGGAATCATGGGCAGCTTCTGCTGGTGGTGGTGTCCTGACGCCCCATGTCTCATCCTGAGCTGCCCTGCCTCTGGGTTTCCGCTTGTTAGCTCCTGTGGAGAACGGGTAAAGGTAGGGCAGGCTGGGTGTCCGGACTGGGTCCTCACCTGACTGCAGGGAGTGGGGTTGGAGTGATTGGGGGATCCAAGGACCACATGGGAATGTTTTTTGAAGAAACTTTGTAACCCTAAGATAATACTTTTCCTCTTTACTTCCTCTTTATTTACTATCTCTTTCTCCTCTTTTCTGCTTCATGCTGGTGATGATTTGGGACCCTTGACGTTGGCCAACTGGCCCTTAACAGAAAATACAGGTCATGTCCAGTGGACTGGTCGGGGTGTGACTCCTCTCTTGCTGGAGGAAACTAGCATTTAATGAGCATCACCTGTGTGCCAGGTAGTGTTTTTAGGCACTTACACGAATAAACATTCTCCCATTTTACAGGCAAGGAAATTGAGGCTTAGAGAATTTAAGGGACTTGCCCAGGTCATAGAGCTGAAAATAACCAGCCCAGGTGGACTCTCACTGAGGGCTTTGAGGGTTCTGGCTTCAGGGCTGTGGTCTTGGACTACAAGTAGGTAACCTTGTCTTCATCTTCGTAACTTACACTGGTTTCTGGCTCACATCGGGGCTCAGGTTTTTGTTTTTTAATTTTGTCTTCTTCTTTTTTTTTTTTTTTAAAGATTTTATTTATTTACTTGAGAGAGCAGGAGCGGGGACAGAGGGAGAGAAGAAAGGGAGAAGCAGGGAGCTCAGTGCAGGGCTCGATCCCAAGACACTGAGGTCATGATCGGAGCCAAAGTCAGATGCTTAACTGGCTGAGCCAGCTAGACACACACCCCCCACCTTTTTTTAATGTTTTATGGAAGTATGATACACCTACTGGAAAGTGCACACATCATAAATGCAGAACTCAGTGAATCTTTGAAAACCAAATGGACCCGTGCAATCTAGCCACCAGGTCAAGAAGCAGAGATTATCAGCATTCTGGAAGCCCATCTCCTGTTCCGTCCACACGCCAGAGCCACCACCGTCCTGATGTTGAATGCCCTGGATTTTGTTTTCAAACAAAATCTGCCTTTGTTTTGTTGCTCATAGTTTGTCCATTGTCACTGCAGTGGCGTATTTCATTGTGAGAATGTGTCATAGTGTTACTGTTTGTGGGTTTGGTTTTTTTTTAAAGATTGATTTATTTATTCGAGGTGGGGAGGGACAGGGGGAGAGAGATCCTCTCCAGCAGACTCCCTGCTGAGCACAGAGCCCCACGGGAGGCTCTGTCCCACGTCCTGAGATCACGACCTGAGCCAAAATCAAGAGTCAGATGCTTAACCGACGGAGCCCCCCAGGTGCCCCCAGTGTTATTCTTTAATCGATGGTAGACACTGGGTAATTGCCAATTTGGAGCTATTCCAAATGGCCTGGCTATGGACGTCCAAGGGCATGTCTTTCAGTGCCATGAGTATGTTTCTGTGGGGTCTGTTTCCAGGAGGGAAATTGCAGGGTCAGCAGTTCAGGTAGTGGTGTACGAGGGAGCCTTCTGTTTGCTGCACGTCCTTTTCATACCGACAGTCTTCATCCCAGCCGTTCTGGTGCATGTGTAATGACACAGCACTCGTTTGATTTGTAATTTTAATTTGTATTTCCCCGCTGCTTAATGAAGCCGGGGCTGAGTTTGCAAATGAGATGTATTTGGGATCACTCTGGAACTGTGATGCCTTGACCACCACTCAAAACAGTAAGAGTGCTGGATGGCTCTTACCGTCTTTTGGTTATACAGACGTTTGGGGCTTGGGGGCCCCCTTGGCCCTCTTTGTGGGGTTTTCTGATAAGCAGGGGTCCCCAGCAGAACTGACTGGTTTGCATTCCTCGCCTCTCTTCAGAACATGAAGAAGAAGGAAGGAGCAGCTGGGACCCCCCGAGCACGCCCGGCCAGCACGGGAGGACTGAGCCTGCTTCCCCCACCCCCCGGGGGAAAAACCTCCACCCTGATCCCTCCCCCTGGGGAGCAGGTGTCTGTGGGGGGATCACTCGTCCAGACAGCAGTTGGTCCCAGTTCAGGTCAGTAAGCTGCACCTACAGGTTCCTCTTCCCCCCGGCAGCTGGGGCCCCGTGCCATTCCCGCCTTCACTCACGCTGTCCATCATTTGGTACCTGTCTGTGATACCAGGAAGCTGCTCCTGCCCAGACTGGGTAAGGGGTTCCTCTGTTTTCTGATACCTGCCACTTCCCCTGCTCAGTGCCTCTGTCTGCCCCTGTCAGGCGGGGGCTGCAGCCTGTTTGCTGTGACACTGATTTGCTGTGAAATCATCAGTGTGTGGGCACCTGGTTCTTAGAGGCTGCTCAGTGTTTGTCGCGTGGGTAAGTGACAGAGACAAGGTCTGCTCGCATCTAGTAGGAGACAGGAGCCCAGGGCACAGAGACGGAATGAATGGGTCCACATACGACCAGCCAGGATGATGTGGGAGGCTCTGTGGAAAAGGTGGCATTGAGGTGGGCCTTGAAGGAGGAGATTGGGGCAGGGGACGCTTGGCCTTCCAGACAGAGAGAAGAGTGGGAGAAGGGCTCAAATTTTTAAATACCTGGTATGTGTAGGGAAATGGATGTAGTGTAAGTCAAGTGAGTGGTGGGAGGTAAAGTTGGGGATTTAATTTAGAGCAAGCTCCTTGGTAAGGCCCTCGGGGTGCTGGGAAGTGGAGAGGCGACTCCCCCAGCACACTGTGTTAGTGTTTGCTCTAAGGTGTAAGGAATGCCTTTTGGTGACCCCAGGATTCCAGAACTTAGTGCCCAGTCCCAGCCATCAATAGTGCTGGGGAGCTAGCCCATTTTTCTTGGCCCCCCACCCTACCCACCCAGCCTAGCTGAGGTTCCAGGCCTTCCCCAGGCTGGGTAATTATCCCAGCTCAGTTTCTCCACACAGATCTCACTAGGTTCTAGGGAGCAGGATCTAGGCAGGAAGCCTGCTTTCTTTCCCTTTTAAGGGTGTGGACAGAGGCTTCACCATCTGGCGGTCAGGCTTCCAACCTCAGCCTTTGGGGGAATTCCCAGCCCAGGATTGGGTAGGAGTAGCGGTCAGCCAGCCTCCGCCCTGGTACCAGGAACCATTCTTCCAGCATTGTTTCTCAGAGTAACGGGACCACCTGCCTTGGCATCGCCAGGAGCGTGGACAGGAATCTGTGTTCCTAACGGTGTTTGGATCCTCACCACGGTGGGAGAACCATTATCTCAGGCCTTCCCTTGGCCGCTGGTGCATGTTTAACAGCCCATACGGAGTATCCGCTATGTGCCAGGCAGTGTTTTAGGCCCTGGGAATGTTGCAGGTACAGCACCAAGTCCCTGCTCTCAAGAGCTTATGGATTTTTGTTTGTTTGTTTGTTTGTTTTTAAGGTTTTATGTATTTATTTTGAGAAAGCTAGAGTGATGGGAACAGAGGGAGAGGGAGAATCTCAAGGAGACTCCACCCGGAGCTCAGAGCACGATGTTGGGGCTTGATCTCATACCCTGAGATCATGACCTGAGCCAAAGTCAAGAGTGGGACACAACCAACTGAGCCACCCAGGTGCCCCTCAAGGGCTTACATTCTTTTTTTAAAATAATTTTTGTATTAGAGAGCACAAGCAGGGGGAGCGGCAGAGGGAGACGGAGAAGCAGACTCCCCACTGAGCAGGGAACCGATGTGGGGCTCAATCCCAGGACCCTGGGATCATGACATGAGCCGAAGGCAGATGCTTAATGCCTGAGCCGCCCAGGTGCCCTGCTCTAGTGATTTTTTTAAAAAAAGATTTTATTTATCTATTAGTGTGTGCACACAGGGGAGAGGGAGAGGGAGAAGCAGACTCCTGGCTGAGCAGGGAGCCCGATGTGGGGCTCCCAGGACTCCAGGATCATGACCTGAGCCAAAGGTAGACAATCAACTGACTAGGCCATCCAGGCGCCCCAAGGGCTTACATTCTTTTTTTGTTTTGTTTTGTTTTGTTTTTAAGATTTTATTTGACAGAGATCACAAGTAGGCAGAGAGGCAGGCAGGGAGAGAGGAGGAAGCAGGCTCCCCGCTGAGCAGAGAGCCTGATGCAGGGCTCGATTCCAGGACCCTGAGATCATGACTTGAGCCGAAGGCAGAGGCTTAACCCACTGAGCCACCCAGGCGCCCCTAGGGCTTATGTTCTAACGTACAAGACAGGCAGTCAGTGTGTCTGCAGACAAAATGCTGTCAGATAATGAGCTGCGAAGAGCTACCGTTTGTTGAACACTTAGTATACCAGACTGGCTGAGTTCTGTTCTGGCTTATTCATTGTGTGATAGAAGATTGATTGCCTGCTTCTCTGGGCCTTGGTTTTCTGATCTCTAGGCTGAGGCGGGGGTCATGATAACCTACAGTGTGGGTTTCTTGTGAGGGTTCAGTGAGCTAATCCATGTGTAGCACTTGCGAACGATACCTAAAACACTAAGTGCTTATGTTCATTAGGTCTCATGCCACTAATGTGGTCGTTATCACCACCACGTGCTGGGCCTTCTCCAAGCTTGCCACTGTATTAACTGCTGCAGCCCGGGCTGGTTCTGTGAAGTAGTCACTGTTACCGTCCCTCACCCCCACATGAGATAAGGAAACGAACTTGAAGGATGTGCATTGAGTCACCCAGTTGGTCCTGGCCTGTCTTCCCCCAGGGACTGTGATGGGTCTGAATGGGACAATTCGCTACAAGCACTTGGCAGGCATTTGGTGAGCTGTAAAACTCGGTCCTCGAGGGCCCTGCTGTTATCTGGTCTCCCTGCGCAGAGCAGATTAGAAATAGCAAATTGGTGGGAGGGTGGAGGGAGGAGGGCACAGAGCCCCCAGCAGGGACAGCAGCCTGGAGGGCGGTGCTGGAAGAGCACAGAAGCCTGCCTGGCTGCCCCCTGTGCCCCCCACCTCTGTGAAGGGGCACACAGACGGCCCTGTGTTACTTCTTCTGGAAGGCTTGCTCCAAACCCTAACCAGTTTGGGTCCCAGCACTTGGCACATGTCTGGAGCATAACTTTTTCAATTAGTCGATCTAGACCCTGGACTGAGGGCTTTATGTGAGGATGACCTTGCATTCTGTGGTAGGCATTTTCCATTCAACAAGCCAGGGCGGATGGGGCGCCTGGGTGGCTCAGTGGGTTAAGCCTCTGCCTTTGGCTCTGGTCATGATCCCAGGGTCCTGGGATCGAGCCCCGCATCAGGCTCTCTGCTTGGCAGGGAGCCTGTTTCCTTTTCTCTCTCTCTACCTGCCTCTCTGCCTGCTTGTGATCTTTGTCAAACAAATAAATAAAATCTTAAAAAAAAAAAAAAAACCAGGGCGGGAGCATGTGAATTTTAAACAGATTGCCAACATAAGCGGTTGAAGACCTCAGCTTGGTCAGTGTGAGTCAGTGTGAGTGACAGATGATGTGTGACTTGTCCTCACCGGCACCTTCCCTCCACCTTGTGTGTCTGTGGTTTTCCACTTTTCTCCAGGAGCCCTCAAGGGCTCATGAGCAGATGGAAATGCGGCAGCTTGTTTGTTTTTTCGTTTTGTTTTGTTTTTTTGGTCCCAGAGCGGGTCTCTGTGTGTCTTTCTCGGCCACCCAGAATCATGAGACTGATTTCAGGGTCACTGAGACCAGAAAGAGAGATCTCTGACTCCTGTGTCTCCTTTCCTTCTCTCCCTGCTGGCGGATTTGGGGACATCAATAGGAGGGGCCACCGTATCCTGGCCGCAACCCAGGCCTGCCACGACTGCCACCACCGACATCTGGGGAGACTTTACCAAATCCACAGGGTAAGGAGAGGGTCACATTCTTGTGGTGGGACTGGGGCCAGGGCTGTGTCCCTAGAAACCTGGGATTGTTCCAGATGCTATTCTTCTGGTATTTGGAGCAACAGCTCAGGCTTGGATGTTTTCTGGCCAGCCAGAGGGCAGAGCCCCAGAGTGCCGCTTTGGGTGGCTTACTTTGCTTCCTGAAGGGTTTTTGCTGCTCTCTACTGCTAGGTGACCTGGGCTATGCTGTAACTCTTTCCGGTCTTCAGCCACCTTTGCTCGCCCCAGTAGCCTCTCCCCTTGTTCCTCTACTCCACATGCCCTAACCCCGCCCCAGCTCTCCTGGAACACTGGACTGAGAGTTAACCGTGGATCTCTCCTTGGCCCGCTTGCATTCTCTGCCTCAATAAAACTTCAAGCCTTTCCTTGGAGTCAAGGGGAAAAGACACTAAAAACTGACTGCACCATTGTTTCTGGGGATGGGCTGTAGGACGGGACTCAGCACCTGTGTTTACTGTAAAGACAGATCGTTTAGACTTTATAGACCTCATGGTCTCTACTTGGTTTTGCTTTGTAGCTCAAAAGCATCCATAGATGGCGTGTAAATGAGTGGGCCTGTCTGTGTGCCAATAACTATTTATACAGACAGAGGACTAGATTTGGTGCCTGGGCTGTAGTTTATTGACCCCTGCTCTACAACATTCAGGGACTGACTTCTTGGAGCTCTTTCTGCCCAGAGAGAAGCCTCATTTTACTGACTGTATTTTCAAATGTCTGAACTCTCCCACCCCTCCCTTTTTTCCTTTTACAGATCGACTTCCGGCCAGACTCAACCAGGTACAGGCTGGGTCCAGTTCTGATCTGAGTGTAGTCCCTCTTTTTCCTCATACAATTTCTGGAAAGAAGCCACGTCACCTGGGCCAAAAGGAAGGAGGACGAAGCACTCCCAGGCCCGCCTCTGTTTGGAGCATGACTCTCTCCTCTCCTCCTCAGCTGACTTTGACAGACTGGCGTGTTAGGCAGTAAATGGGCGCAGTGTCACACGGTTTCCTGGGAGTCAAGGAGGAAAGCCCAGCATCCCTGTCCCTGTCCATCTCTTGACACGAGAGACTCTGAGACTGCTGCTTCCATCACGTGACCCATATTAAACAGAAGCCCCCAAAGCAAAAGAAGGGCTTGAGCGTGCTACCTGCCTCAGCTGGGCCCTTCTCAGTGGTTACAGATGTCCCGTGATCCCTGGCCAGAAGGAGGGTCTTCTGCACGCTTGTTGGCTGTAGCCACGTCACTCACGGTGCCTTCAGAGGGGGGATTCCTTCCTGATTTCTGGCAGGTTTATAGGCTGCACCTCGAGCAGATAATCAGGAGGGAAATCAAGAGTATTAACCAGCTTTTAAAAATTTTTTATTTGCTTTGCTAGCGTGCTGATCTGCACTAACTCATCTTTGCAAAAGGGACTGCTCCTGCAAGATGTCCCAGCAGGGACCTCGGAAAGCATCCCGCCCTGTCCGCCGTAGGAGCTGCTCTGAGCTTCAGAAAGTGTTGTTCTTCTTGGCTAAGTGGCCTGGCTGCCGGGTCACCATGTGGGCAGTGCGGGCTGAGGCAGGCGCCGGAAGCTGTTCAGGCAGGAAAGCCGGAACTATTCTCATGGCGGTGGGCAGTCCAGCCATCCTGTCCACTGACAGCTCTCTGGGTTCAGGGGCCCCCAGCGCAGTTCCCAGGGGCCTTGGGTTTTCTCCTTGCTGTGGTTTCTGAAGTGCCTTGTCTGCAGACAGCCTCTTACTTTGTTTTCTCCTTCAGAGACTACACGACGGAAGGAGTTCCGAGTGAACTGGGAGACTAGGGCTGCCTGTTTTACTGGTTGATGAGAAATAATTTTATCTGAGCACACCTCGAAATTTGCTTTTTATCAACATACTTTACCTCTTAATTGATCGATTTTTTTGAAGGGTCAGGACAACTGAAAAAAAAAAAAAAGTGTTGGCCTTTTTGTGGGACCAGATTCCGAAGATAAATAAATATTTTTACTTCTGTCCGTGTATGTCAAAGATGAGCCTGTTTTTGGCAGCATGGCCACGAAGCCATCCAGGGTGCCGCAGCTAGACTCACAGCCACCTCCCACTGCTGATCATATGTCCAGATTTAAAGTCCGGTGCCAGGGTGTCACATGAGGCAGAATAAGAGAATTGGGTCTTGTTGCTCTAAGGCAACCAGTAACGTCTCCCCGGTGTATCTAGAAGAGCACTGGGACATTTTTAGCTTAATGTGGGAGGGGGCCCCTGCCTCCCCGCAAGACCTCACCGGGGAAACCACTCCCTAATTGGGAACAGTGTAACAGGCACGCAGAAGCAAAAAACTAAAGGCCCCAACACTTCCCGTGCTCAAGGGTTTGGTAAGAAAGCTGCAGTTTTTGTTAGTTATGAAACAGCTGTTCTGGCTAATAAACCATGTAAGGAGGGACATAGAAGATGAGAAGGAAGGGTCCTCTTCCCTTCGAGTAAGAGTAAGGAGTTAGCATCAGAGGAGTCTGGAGTAGGACACCTTGCGTCTCTTGCCCATTACATCCCATCTTCTTCCTTCCTGAGTGCTTGGAGGCTGGAAAGGAAGTTTACCTTGAACTCTTCCTGGAGTGGAATTTCCTCTCCTTGGAGGTGGGCTCTCAGGTTCTGGAGCTGGACCTGGGCTTCGGGTCTGAGTGCTGTCCTTGTTAGGCTCCTTCCTTAACTCAGGGGTCAGTCCCAGGAGGCCTAGCTGCACTAGCACGTGCCCACGTGTCATAGTTTGGCCTTAATTACCCTCATCTAGAATCAGAAAACCGTTACTCCTAATGGGGCTGGTGAGGCGGCTGGTGAAGCGGCTGGTGAAGCAGCCATCAAGGGTCTAACCGGAAAAACACTTTGACACATCCGTGAGGGGTTGGTGGGCGGGTAATAAAACAGTTCGGTGTTCTCCATCACCAACTGGAAGCCTGGTTGGGAAAAACCTACCAGGGTCCCCAGGAAAATCCCCACTGCCAAACCAGGCTTCTCTTCAGACACCTGACTGGAGCTTCCAAGTGGGTGGGGTGGGGTGGGGGGACACGGGGCCTGGGCTGCGGTCTACAGAGCAGGGGGATTTGAATACCCTCCCAGATGAGCGTGGCTCCCACAATTGCCACTACCAGGTGTGCCCATCTCCAGGAATCTTCTAGCGCAGGCCAGACCCATGACTTCTAAGCAACACAATAAGGCAAAGAGGACAAAATGTGGCTTCCATGATCACGTTACAGAACATCACATCTGTCCTGTCAGGACATCTGTCCAGAGAGTGACCTCTGTTACTGGCTTTGGAGAAACAAGCTGCTCTGTGTGTGCCACCCCGGTTGGAGGGTCAAAGAGGCGAGGAGCTAGGGCAGCCTCAGGCTGACAGCCAGCATGAAACCACAGCCCCTGGTCCAGCAGTCTGCAAGGAAGGGAGCCCTGACCAAACCATGGGAGCCTGGAAGCCGGTCCTTGCCCAGCTGGTTGTTCAGATGAGCCCCATGCCCCGGCCAGCCTTGACTACAGCTGTGCCCAGACACCTGACCCAGAGAAACAGCCAGGAAATGTTTTGAACTGCTGCATTTGTGGGAATCCTGTTAGACAATAGATCACTAAGACAAGAAGTGAGCAAAACATGTTTGAAGTGGGAGTCTCGGAGAAAAGCTTCTGTACAGATCTGAGGCCTCTGTGGCCTTGGCAGCTCACTTCCCATGCTCCTTTGGGCTTCCTCTCCCCCCTTTATGTTGCCAGCAGCGATGGCTCGATGATGCTTACCCCGTGCTAGGCACTGTTCCATGCACTTGGCCTAAAACTCGTTTTGCCATCACATCTGCCCTCCAAGGTAGGTACTCACCTGTTTTACAAATGACGAGACTGAAGCAGTGAGATGAGGTAGTTTGCCTGAAGTCATATGGCTGCTGAGTGGCAGAGCTGGGATCAGAACCCAGGCGTCTGGCTCCAGCATCCATGCTTCTAATCAGACGGATCCAACCAGTGCTGCCTCCGGGGCGGGCTTGGAAGACTGGGTTAATCTGTGGGAGTTCCCATTCTTCTAGTAGATCAAGAAAGCCGTAACATGGCAGGTATCAAATGACAAGTCAAGGGCGGGGCCTTGCTTCCTAGGTGATTAGAAGCCCCTCCATGCTTCACGGCACATAGTAGGTGTTGATTTCTCTGAGCAGACGGTGACAGGAGGGAGCTATGCTCTGTGGGCAGAATGGACCAGAATGGGGAGAAGACAAGTTTTTCCTTACTGCAGCTTGAACGTAGACAGATACTTTAATGTTTTCTTCCGGATTACAGAGGTAACGCAGGTACAAAAACAAAACCAGAGGATATTAGCAATCATCCCAAATCATTCCTTGCTTTGTAGGAACAGGAGCCCATCTCTGAGGACACCCTGAACCGGATTTAGGGCCCACCCCTGGATTTAGGTGGACCTTGAACCCAGAAAACTTGGGCGCCTGGGTGGCTCAGCTGGTTAAGCGACTGCCTTTGGCTCAGGTCATGATCCCAGGGTCCTGGGTTCAAGTCCCACATCATGCTTCCCCTGCTCTGTGGGGAGCCTGCTTCTCCTCCCTCTGCCTGCCACTGGCCCCCTGCTTGCGCATTCTGTCTCGTGCACTCTCCCTCTCTGTCAAATAAATAAATAATACATAAAATCTTAAAAAAAAAAAATCTAGGATGATTCTATCTCAAAATCCTTAATTACATCTGCAAAGGCCCTATTTCCAAATAAGGTCACATTCACAGGTATTGGGGTTGGGACTTGAATATATCTTTTGGGGGGACACATTTCAACTTACCACAGTCTACCCACTCCAAGATCCATCAGTAAGGGATGGGTTATATAAATTTAGATACATCCGTATAATGGAATACTAGATTTTGAGGGGGGGAACAGAATAAAAAAGCTCTTTATAGGGACAAATGGGTGGCTCAATCGGTTAAGTGTCTGCTTTTAGGTCGGGTAATGATCCCAGGGTCTGGGGATGGAACCGCACCCCAGGAGGGCTCTCTGCTCAGTGGGGAGCCTGCTTCTCCTTCTCCCTTCACCTGCTGCTCCCCCTGCTTGTGTTCGCTCTTTTTGTCAAATCTTAAAAAAAAAAAAAAAAAGCTATTTATATAGTTGTAAGGAACTATCATTGAGCTATATCGAGGGTAGGCAGCAAGGTACAGAATACGGCGTAGATAGAATATGCTCTTTTGCATAAATGGGAAGGGAAAGCTTTATGAGCATAAAATATCTCTGGAAAGATACCCAGGAAATAGCAAGTTGCCTACATGAGAGACTGGATGCCTGGGAGACAGAGATGCTGGATACTAGGAGATACTTTTGTAACTTTCAGAATCTGAACCATATAAATATACCATCTTTTCAAAGAAAGGAAGAAAGGGCGCCTGGGTGGCTCAGTGGGTTAAAGCCTCTGCCTTTGGCTCAGGTCATGATCTCAGGGTCCTGGGATTGAGTCCTGCTTTGGGCTCTCTGCTCAGCAGGGAGCCTGCTTTCCCTTCCCCCCCACCACCTGCCTCTCTCTCTCTGGGTCAAATAAATAAATAAAATCTTAAAAAAAAAAAAAAAGGATCTCTCTCTCTCTGGGTCAAATAAATAAATAAAATCTTAAAAAAAAAAAAAGGAAGAAAAAATCTTCATCTGTTATATCAACACTCAAAGATACAGAGCAGAGTGAGCATTTTAGTGTCTTCTCATTTTATTATATATATAAGCAGTAAATAAATTTTTTTTTACAGATAGGGGCTTATTCTTTTTTTTTTTTAAGATTTTATTTATTTATTTGACAGAGAGAGATCACAAGTAGGCAGAGAGTCAGGCAGAGAGAGAGGCAGAGAGAGAGGGGGAAGCAGGCTCTCTGCTCAGCAGGGATGCTGAGGCAGATGCTCGATCCCAGGAACCTGAGATCATGACCTGAGCGGGAAGGCAGCGGCTTAATCCCCTGAGCCACCCAGGTGCCCCAAGATAGGGGCTTATTCTGTCTAGTGTTCTGAAACATGTCACTTAATAACTTATAACCATTTCTCCAGGCATTGAATGTTCTTCTCTAACATTTGGAATGATTTCATAGTTTTCCATTAAAGAAACCACCCAAGATTAGGTATGTTAGTGCTGGACCTTCCAGTCTTTCTCATTTTTTGCTATCAAAGTTGGATCTTATAGAAAGATTTTGCAAGTTACCTTTGAGATATCCAGTGAAACAAGTCAATCAGAATGCCTCGTCCTCTAAGCCTCCTGGTTAATGTGGTTTTACGGATGGTGGGCAGAGTCCAACCCAGCCTAGCGTCCGGATTTGGCAGGCAGTTGGCCCTAGCAACCCTGGGGTGGCAATTCCAGTCGCTTGTTTTCCAGTTACCTGAGCTGCAGATTTAGAACCCTCTGCAGTGAGCAGGTGAGCCCCCGGCACGACTCCCTTCGGGTGGCTGATCTTGGGGTCACTGGGCTGAGCACCATCTGGGTGACCAGATGGGCTGGGTGACCAGATGGGCAGCAGTTCTGGGGACTCAGATGACCACTGACCAGGCTGAGCTGAGCAGAGCCACTGACTCAGCACAGAGAGGGGGGCCAGAGGTATGTATGTGACTCCCCGCAGCAGGGTCCTGTGAGCTCTGGGATAAGAGGGTCGGGAGAGAGTCGCTGTGCTTGCTGTCCCTCCCAAAGACTCCTATCAGGTTGCATGGTATAGAGGAAAGAAGGTGGGATTGAAAGCTACTGAACTCCCTGCCGAGTATCATTGAGCGAGTGACCGTACGTACTCTGAGTCTCGGTTTCCTCATCTGTAAAATAGAAATAATCCTAGAACCTGCTTCGTAGCCTAGATTCTGTGTCAAGAGCATTCAGAGGGGACTGAGGATAGCATGAGAAAATGGAAGCCAAAGCAGCCAGCACAGTGTGGTACGCAGCTGGTGTAGGCTGCCTTCGAGGTGCACATGCCTGTGACCAAGGGACACCTGGTGGAGGCAACAGGAGGTCTGTTGGAGGGAGGGACAGGGATGTGGGCCTGAGCTC